ACCAACTACACAGGATAATAGGATAATAACTAGATAGGATAACAACTACAGCGACCCCAAAATGGAAGAGGCTGCCTTGGGAAAGAGTGGGTCCTTTCTCAATGGAAATATTTAAGCATAGACTGGGCTACCTGTTGGGTATATTGTACTGAGGATACTTTTTTGGGGTAAGGGTAGCACTAGATGGCCATTTGAATCCCTTTCACTTCTGTAATTCAACTTCTTGTCACCTTGGGTTAGTTCCTTTGCTATTTTTTGCCTCAAATCTTTAAACATGGGCGTAAGAATGCCTATTTTCTTAGTCTCATAGGGTTACTGTGAGAACAGATGCAAAAGGACTTCGAAAAGTTAAAAGTGTCATAAAGTACAGGATATTTACTATAATATTGGTATCAAACTGGGAAAAGTTAAATTTATTTTGAATACATGCTCACAATTACACACTGTATACGCATTATATGCATATATACAAGGTGTCCCAAAAGTCTAAATTCAGTTTAAACTATTAACTGTATGAAAAGAGGCATAGATCAACAATGTATTTTAAACTGGTAGGAAAAATGATAGCTATGGTTTGCAACAATTTTCAAATCAACAATTCACTAAGTGACTAGTAAGAAAAATAATATAAAGCAAACCCCATAAGAATTTGTGATTAGGAAAAAAAATCCTCCCCCTAAATGGGTCAATGTTATTAAATTATTCTTGACTTTAATCAAAAAGTGAATCGCAAATAGTGGAATTTCTCTACCAAAGTCTTTCTTCAGTGCCTTGTCTTGGCATGGAGGTTCTGGAAGGCTATTCCAGCAGAGTGTGAGCTCTGGCAGTTTCTGCCCAACATGCCATACCAACTCTGGTCCTGAAGGCTCTTCACATCCTGCCCCCAGGCTACCTTCTAGGCTTATTATATACTTTACGCTTCAGGCAAATGGGACTATTTGCTGTTTCCTGTTTAGAGTATCATGGCTCCTGTCTCTGTGCCTGTGTACCAGTTATCTCCTCTGTTGTGAATGTCCTTATTCTTCTTCACCTCTATTTCTTAGTATCTTTAGCTTCCTTCAAAGCTGAGCTCTAATGCCACATCCTAGATGACACCTCTCCCTAATCCTCTTTTTGCCATCCCCCATTTCCCCATTTACTCCAGTCTTTGATGGAGTGGTGGCCTTTCTCCTTGCCAAGGCTAAGTAAGGCTTCTACTTAGACCCTTGATCCCATCCCATAATGGTTACTCTGGCAGATACTCCCACAATCTTCTCCCTTCTCCCTCTAATCTTCAATCTCTCCTGGCTTTTTTCCTGATGCTTATAAATACGCCCAAGTCTTTCTCATCTTTAAACAAAAAACCTTCCCTTGACCCTACCATCCCCTAAAGCTATCTTAAATCATTCCTCTTATTAGCCAAACTCTTAGAAAAAGCAATTTACACTCATTGTATCTACTTCCTATTCCTTCACTCATTTTTCAACCCGGCATCTAATGTTAACACTCAATTGAAAATGCTCTCTTCAAAGTTGCCCATGATCTCTTAAATGCCAAATCCAATGGAATGTTTCCAGGCATTACTCTTTTCTGCATTCTTCTTCTTCTTTTTTTTTTTTCCGAGGCAATTGGGGTTAAGTGACTTGCCCAGGGTCACACAGCTAGTAAGTGTCAATGTCAAGGGTCTGGTCTGAGACCAGATTTGAACTCAGGTCCTCCTGACTCCAGGGCCAGTGCTCTATCCACTGCGCCACCTAGCTGCCCCTTTTCTGCATTATTCTATTCCTCTGTTTCCTGTTGCTCAGTCTCATTTATGTTTCACTCTCTAGTGGTAGATGTCCCCCACAGATCTGTCCTGGACCCATTTAATTTCTCTGTACTATATGGTCTTTTTTCTTTCTGTGATTTCATTAGCTCCCCTGGAATTATAATCACTATGCAGATGACTCTGAGACACACACATGTATTTACAACTTAATGTTAATCCTAGATTACTTAGTTGATTTAAAAAAGTGGTTAATGGATCTGGGAGAAAAGAATTTTCAAAACAGCATAAATGTATTTAAAGCACTCTGCCCACGTACATATACGCACGTGTATATGTATGTATGCACGTACACATATATATGTGTGTGTATATGCATGTATGCATGCATATATATATGTGTGTATGTGTGTTTTTTGTATGTATAAATCTCCAGACCTTTCTCTCCTGAGCTCCAGTTTCATATCACTATCAGCCTATTGGACATTTCCAACCAAATATCCCACAGGCATCTCAAACTCCATATGTTCAAAATCAAACTATTTTCCCCCTGAAATCGACCCCTCTTCTTCACTTCTCTGTCTGTGTCACAGGCATCCACTATCCTTCCAATCTAGGTTTGTCACCTTGGAGTCATCCCTGACTCTTCACTCTTTCTCACTCTCCATAACCAAGTTTGCCAAGTGTATTGACTCAGCCTTCCAAGTATCTCTTGATTCTGTCCCCTAGTCTCCACTCACACAGATACTCCCCTAGGTCCGGCTCCTATCTCCTCTCATGCAGACAACTGCAATAACCTCCTCATTGGTCTCTCCATTTCTGGTCACTTCCCACTCTACTGCATCCTCTGCACAGATGCCCAGAGTGATATTCCTAAGGGTCTAACCACGTTTTCCTCCTCATTCAGAAGTACTTTTTTTACCTCCTAGATAAAATACAGCCTCTTACACAATCTCGTTAGCTTATTACACCTCATGTCCTAGCCAAACTGGACTGATAGCCCTTCCTTATACAGGACATTGTTTCCAGACTCCCCTGTGTGTGGAAAGCGTGTGCTCCTCCCCTACATCTCTTAGAACACTTAGCTTTCCTTCAAAGTTTAGTTCAAGAGCCATCTATTACTGAAGGCTTCTCCTAATGCTTCCAGCTATTTCTGTTCCTCCAAATTATTTTGCATTTATTTTTCCTCTACTACACTTACTACTACGTGCATATGTTGTTTTCCCTAAAAGAATATGAGCTCCTAGAGAGCAGAGACTGTTTCAATGTTTGTCTTCATAGCCCTAGTACTTAGCATGGTACCTGGCACGTAGCAGATGCTTAATAAAAGTCTTTTGACTGCCTGAGAAGAAAGCCTTTGAACAGTAGTCCAGTGATGCTCTGATTGTGTTATCGCAGCACTAGCATCAATGTGATGGGACTGGTTAGTTTCAAGGTGATACACTTTTTGGCAACAATAACTTTCAAAAGCCATCTATTAAGTTGCAGAGAGATTGTGATTTCTGTCGGTTTAGAAAATATCTACACACAAAATGACAGACCCACAAATATTGACCATAGTATTACTGGCATTGTAAATAATTACATAATGCAGGCTCTTTAGCACATTCAACTCCACGTAGTATCGAATGACATTTATAGCCAATTAATATGCTATGGTTGTCCAGGACCAATATACATTAGTACAGTTACCATATCGTTTCTCCCCTAAGCAAAGAATTTATAACATTTTAGAATACCTGCTACTATCATCAGTGATAGTCAATGCCTTGAGCCTTTCTGATTATTCAAACCTTTTCTTATATCCTCTCCATTTCAAATACCACCTCATTGCAATATGCAATTTCTACTCAAGTAATCTTGATCTAGGCAGATTAGCCCTGTGGAACACAGGAAAACAGGGTAAAGAAGAATCCGGGAAGGAGAACAATAAGGGAAGGGAAGAGGAGAAAAAGCTCAAAGAAAAAGTCAAAGGAAAGAATGAATAAAATATGGAGAAGGGAAGAATAAAATAGGAATAAAAGAAGGGAAAAGGGAAGGAAGGAAAATAAAGCAAAAGAGAAGTGATGTAAAAATAGAAAACGGATGAGAGAAAGAGGAGAAGAGAAGGAAAGAACTAGTTGAATAATTAGAATCAATCCCAGTCTATTGAAGTAATGTTAGACTAGGCAGATGGATTAGTCCTATGGAAAAACAGGGCACAGAAGCATCCTACTTGCAAACCCTATGGTCCAGGAAGGAGAAAACTCACAGACAAAGATTGGATTAATAGTTTCCACCCTTTCTTAAAGGTCTATCTTTTGAAGGAGAGAAGATAACATATTCCTCATGGTTTGTTATAAATAAGCATCATCTGGAAATTCAAAAGAATAACTTCCTCACTCTAATCATTAACTTTTCTGTCAAAGGCAACTCTAAAAAAGATGGCTCAGTTTTCATGATAAGGGTTTAGTTTATAGTAGAATTTGTGAACTTCAGGATGGTTTAGAGACAGGCAGTGAGGAGAATGGTGATACACTACAGATTTCTAGTTCACACTATCCCTTCATCAGCTGTATAGGTATGCTCTAGGCTAAGAGCACTGGACTTTGAGCCAGAAGAGACCTGAATTCAAAATGCAGCTTTGACACTTAACAGCTGTGTAACTGTAGACAATTCATTAAAACTTTCTGAGCTTTAATTTCCTCATCTGAAAAATGGAAGCAATAATACTAGACTATTCTACCTGCCTCTCAGGGTTGTAGGGCTGAAAGCAGTTTGCAAATCCTAAAGCACTATATCATCATAGGTTATCATCATTACCATTATTTTCATAGTCTAATGATAGGCTAACCAGTGCAGTCTAGTTCTGAGGAGGTGAGCAAACAACTCACCAAAACCTGAAACCCCTGGAATCCTGGATGACCCACACTGAGTAAATAACACTGACGGAGAAAAATGAATGCAAAATGCATCCTTGATTTGAAAATTCAGCGTTTTGCTGCTTAACTTGAACAAAAGGAGATTAAAGTGGGGAAAAGAGTACTGCATTTGTCTGTAACTTATATTTTTTAACAAATCAAGATCAATTTTAGATTAACATTGAGACAGGTATATATTTCAATGTATATTTCAACCTTTTCAATGGCTTTGTCTTTCAAAGATCTCAGATAAACAGGCCATACTGCCCTTCATGTGCTCAAAAAAAAAAAAAAATACAAAATACACACAGGTAAAGAATGACACAGGGTTACTTAAGCTCATTTCTGATACTTACCCAGAGATCTCTCTTTTGTCTGGTTGGTTGACCTCACCACTGGAAGGCTTGCCCGTGTACGGCTGCCTCTAGAAAAAGGAGTCGGTGACTCTCCCTCTGACATGGCTTCCAAAGAATCAGCAGATGCCTCTGACAGATGCTCAGCCTGGTCTCCCAAATTGGGCGGTTGAGGGCTTTGAGAAAGCTTTGGGCTTCTGGTCTGCAAAAGACATTAAAGGGAGGGAAGGGGAAGTATAGCATTCTATTATTACACTTTTAAATGTTTTCAATACTATCAAGACTGGGCAATCTGGAAAATCAATTTGGGGGGAGAAAGTTGGGGCTGTGGTTGGGGGGAGAAAAGTCCATCAAAAATTTTGAATTTAGAAATCTGAATGGCTTTGTGTGGTCAAGGTGACTGCTATGAAAGTTATTTTTAAAAACATATTGTCCCTGGGTATGCCATTAGGATTTTTATTGCTGTACCTCTACTGCACAAATTTCATTTCTAACAAAGACCTGAGGCTAAGACATATTATAGGAGAGATGTATGGCAATTCCATTCCTTATGACTTGAACAACTGTTAACAGGTGTTATAACGTAGACGTAAATGTGCACAGACACATATCCTTAACAGGGAAAGGGAAGACGCTTCTATGGCTAAGCTGCAACATTCTATTTCTAAGTCTTTCACCGAGATTACTTTGAAAATCAGTAAGGTTGTATTATAGGAGGGAAAAATAGTGGCACAGTTGGGCAGGGATTTAGTTTTGGTGGCTGAAATCCCCTAAGATTTTAAAAAATCTCTATTCTTTCTCTTACCCACCTTGTCAATCAACAGAGAGGCTCTGCAAATAGATACAGCCATATTGGAGCTGATTCTCAATTTTAATGATGTCTGTTGCACAGGGATTGGGTAAAAATGGGAAGAATCAATCAAATTGCTGCCCACATGAGCTCAATCAATAGAACTCAATCTATTTCAATGTACTCAGTACCTACAAACTACTACACAGGGCATAGAAGAAATGGAATACATTAACTTCTACCCTCTGGGAATTTCCAAAGTAGTCAAAGAGATAAGGCAAATGAACAACTTGTGAACAATGCTGGCTAGGATACAGTTAAGTAGCCCATGAACTGGGTGCTCTTCATTACTTTAGTGAATTTGTGATTTTGAAGACATGGGTATTCCTTCCAGCAACAGAAACTGCAACCCATTCATTCATTCACACCTTCTCATCTTATATGACTCCGGTTCATGTGTTCCTATAAAACCTCCACAGGGGTTCTAGCTAATGCTCCCAATGCCTCCTTCTAGATAGCTTAGCATGATGAGGGTTACCAGAGGAACACATGAGTTGTCCATCTCTTATCCCTTATTTAAAAAATTCAAAATCCATTGGCTTATGATAATCCATTCTGAAGTTCAACCCAAACAAACCCTAAGTTTTCCACACAAACAAAACCAAGTTCAGTTCATAAATTCATCATGAATGTTGCAAAGAAGAAACAAGAAATAAGATCAGATGGATAGAGTATAAATGTTACTACGCATATCAACACTTAATAGTTTGCTAAACTTTCATCTGTCGTGTCTGTTTAACTGAATTTAATTGGCTACAGATGGGACATCTCTGGCCCTTTTTCATGGAGCTCCAAGATGAAAAGTAATGTAGTATATTTCCCTTTGCCTAAAGGAAAGAAGGCTAGATAGCACTTGACTGCTTCCATTCTTGGGAGACAGAAAGATCTGAGTAAGATGGGTAACTCAACTCAGCTATGAAATTGTAGATGTTATAGCCTTCATGTAGAATGTAAGCTCATTGAGGGCAGAGACTTTTATTTTTTGTCTCTGTATTCTCAACCCATCACATAGTGCCATGTACCTCTTCCCCACCTTCCTCAATCCATCCATATAGGAAACTATTTGCATGGAAAGCCTCTACTCAAGCAATTCACTCTCTGTAACATAGAATCTCGGAGAATTGCCTGAAGCATTGTAAGGTTAACTGACATGGCCAGGGTCACTCCTTATACGTCAGAGGCATCCTGGATGAAGGACTTCCCAACTCCTAACTCTGTTCTCTAACCACTATACCAGGCAGTCTCTTACAGTGCACACAGGTGGTTAGAAAATGATTAATTACATTGACATCCCAATCCAGAATGGTGGAATTCCTGACTGGTCAATAGTTGAGGTAACCCATTCAATTTTTCCTTTGTCCTTGGATTATGACTGTTTGCTGCTTGAACCAAACAGCTGGTTATGACTAAATAGTACCTTTTTCCTGAAATCTGTTTGGGTTGTATGAACTTAGCCCTAGTATTGGAACAGGAACACTATTTTGTCAGGAAAAGCAACCCTAAAGATTTTACTGGTAGTCTGAGAATGCATTACCTAGTTTCTGAAGAGGTACAATAGATTAAACTAAGGAAAAAAAGCTTTTCAGAAGAGAACATCTTGTCTTTGTCCCTGACCCTAAAAACATACATTAGGACAAGGCAAACAGTCAAAAAATGATACCACTTTCCTTAAAATGGGAGCATTTACAATATTTGCTATTTGGTCACGTCTACTAACTGCAGACAAAAAAGGACAAATTTTATGCATGTTCCTTTCCTATTGTTAAAAAAAACTTTTAAAAAACTAAAATAAAAAAATCTAAAACTAAAGAAATAAAAAAATTAACCCTTGAGGAGATAAATCAAAATCAAACACCTCTATTGTCCAGATCCATGCCTGAGGCAGACATATGTTTAAAAAAAAGAAAAGGACCTAGAAAGAAGTTAATGCCTCCTTTCTTCTTTACACATAGTTTCTTCAAAATATGAACATCAGCTCTTTCCCTTCTGTAATTCCCACGTTTGAAACTTTCACTCTGAAAACTCACTGCCTTTTATTGTCATGTGTTAGAAATCTCCTCACATACAGAATTCAATGTCCTCTAATCACATCTCCTTTTGCTGCCAAAGTGTCCTTTAGGTTCAGAAAAAGGACAGCCTTTCTTGAGATTGCCATTGTCAAACGTGCTACCATTTTATATATGAAAATAATCAATTAACCAGTTATTTATTGCATCCATTCTGTATCCAGGAATGTGACAGATAGATACTACCTGGAGTTGTTGGGACCATAAAAGAAAGATAAGTCACCAATTCTGCCTGCTAAAGGAGCTGATGGTCTGGTGGGAAGAGGATGTTGGGAAAAACAGATGAGAAACAATTGGAGAACAATTAAATGTTAATTGTGTGTTACTGACTATAAAATACAATGGGAAGAAGAATCTGCCCTGGAAGAATGTTCAGGATTTGATTTGGATAGCAAAAGGGGAGGCTGGGGAATGATCACGGGTAAAGAAAACTAAAATTAATAACAGTAAGTAATATTTTAGAGTGTTTTCCATATAGAATCTGCATAATGTAATGGAAAGGATGCTAGGTTTGATGTTAGAGGACTGGGTTCAAATCTCAGCTCCAACATTAACTACTTGTGTGATCTTAGATGAAGAACTTTACATCTCAGAGCCTCTGTAAAATGTGAGGGTTGGACTAGGTAGAATTCATTTCTAAATCTCAGTTCCTAGAATCCTCACAACCCTTCTATAAGGTTTTTACTATAAGAACTAGTTCCCTAATTAGTGTATGAGGAAACTGATTAAATGACTTGACCAAGGTCCTACAATTAGTAAGATGTAGAAGGATTCTAACCCAGGTCCTATACTCTTTTCACTACACATACTGATTCTCTGTTGTTATTTGTGAACAGTCACCTGCATTTCCTCCTTTCACCCTCTTCCCCATAATGAAATACGACTCAGGGGTTCTATTAGTAGCCTTAGAACAGATCTTCCTGTTATGCAGATCAGTCAATAAAAATGTACGAATAATAAATGTACAATAATACTTTAATAAACATATATTAGGTACTTACCATCGCCAGGCACCATGCTACCTTTCATTTATCCGGCATTTCACAGTATGTCAAGCACCTATACATATGTTAACTCAATTTGTCTACATAAGAATTCTGTGGGTGCACAATTATGCCTACTTTATGGATGATTCTCATTCAACTGAAAGTGACTCCTTAAGATTTTCAACAGTACTGTATTTGATCCCCTGCTTTTCACTCAGTTACCTTGTATCAAATGACATGTAAAGTGTTTTACAAACCCTGAAGTATTATGTCTATGTTAGCTTTGATTGTAGCTCTAGACATTTTCTCTGAATGTGTCCCATACCTGGAATGCTCTCCCTCTTCATCCCTCCTTATCTACTGGTTTCCATGTCTTCCTTTAAATCCCAACTAAAATTCCATCTTCTACTGGAAGTCTGTCTCAACTCTTAATTCTAATGCTTTTCTTGTAATTATTTCCAGTTTATCCTGCATATAGCTTGATTTTACATATATTTTTGTTTGTTGTCTCTCATTATATTATGAGCTCTTTGAGGGCAGGGACTCTTTGGCACAAAGTAGGTGATTAATGTTTATTTTGTCTTTTGTTTCATATGTGTATGTACACATACATATATACATGTATGTATATATGTGTGCATGCACGCATATTTATGTATGTATATTTATTCTGTATATACTTATATATGTACATCTTGTCTCTTTCCACTAATGTTCCTTGAGGGCAGGGATTGTTGTGTTTTTTATCTTTGTATTCCCAGTATCTAGCACATAATAAACGAATATTGATTGATTACTTTGTATTCTACTTATTTTTCTACCCATCCATAGAAGCTCCCTGAAAGCAGGGACTACATCAGTTTTTAATCTTTAAGTGCCCAAGTACCCAGCACAGTGCCTTACATATAGTAGATGATCAACAAATGTTAGCTGAACTGAACTGAATGAGAAATTTTGGCTCAAGAAGCAGCACAATCTATACCCTAACAACAACACTGTAGAGATAAACAACTTGGGAAGATTTAACAACTGACTAAGGCAGTGACCAACCACGATTCTAAAGGATTTATGATGAAGCATACCTGACATAGGAGGTATGGAGGAGCCTGAACATAGATGAGACATACTCTCTGGACATGGCCAATGCAGGTATTTGTTTTGCTTGACTATGTGTTTTTCTCTCTCTCTCTCTCCCTCTCAAGAGAGGAGGTGGGAGGGAGAAAAAATAAATTTTGATAAATTGAAAAATTTACCAAACCGAAAAATTATGCATACTCTAGGACTAGACAGCTAGGACTGG